ACATATATAACTTTTTGCATGTGTGGTATACACACAGTAACAATATTAATCACAAAACATACAGGATCTTTAAAGTGAAATGGTTCTAAAAATATTTTTTGGAAACGTCAATTACTCTTCAGCAAATTACGTGCAAAGTTTCCTACATATAGTGACCATTTTATATTTTGAAACAGTTTGCATGTTTGTAACATCATGCATATCATCTGATGTTGGTCAGCTTATGGTATATACCCTCTGGTTAAACTGCACGAATGCGGTGTATAGCCTAGCTTTATACTGGTATCAAAAAGCTTTGCATTGCTCCGGTCCAACCATTGTCAAGTATAGATAGTAAAATGACATTAAATTGACAAAGACTTTCTGTATTCGTATCTTTGAACGAACCGGTGAAACATTCTGTCTACAATATTTTCCCTTTTTTCTTTGAAGTTAGTTTATACAAATTTGCTTTAGTTCGATTGTGTAGGATGCTATAAGCTTATTGAAACACTCACGAATCCGTTCCTGGAACCACCAAGTACTTAGCAATGAATGTATAGTTTCTTCCTCAGGAAAAAAACGGCTTGCCCCTGTCAGGGTTTAAATCCACGCGGCCAGCAATCCTTAGATTACTAGTCCAACGCGTTAACCACTCAGAAGTTAAAGACATAACTTCAAATTTGAATTAAAAATGAACATACTATCGCTGAATTCATAGCTTCACATGTTAGTGACATAAAATTGTCATAGACGTAACTTCATAATTATGTGAATTACATGACATAGTTAGAAACATTGTTTTAAATGTGAATTATATAACATTGTCAAAAACATAACTTTTTATGTGAATATCACATGACATTGTTAAAATATTGCTTCAAATTTGAATTACATCAGATTTTCAAATCATATAGTTTTCGAATTTGAATTACATTGCATTGTTTAAGACAGCCTCGTTGTTTAAGACAATCTCAAAACATTGTCGCAGATATAGCTTCAAATGTGAATGACATAAAAGTGTCATAGATATAACTTCAAATGTGAATTACATAAACATTTTTACAGACAGAGCTTCATGTGTGAATGACATAACATTGTCTTAGACATAACTTCATATGTGAATTACATGACATTGTTAGGTACGTTGCTTTAAATGTGAATTACATAACATTGCCAAAAGTTATAGCTTTAAATATAATATGAATTAAAAAACAGTGTTATCTTCACAGCTTCGAATATAAATTACATTACATTGTCAAAGACAGCTTAAAATGTGAATAACATAAAATTGATAACGACATAGATTCTTATATTAATCATATAACAATGAAACATATTGATTTGAGGATTTAATTATTCTTTAAATAGATAGAAATCGATGAGATAATACCGTCTGCTATTTTATGTTGTCTGAGAAAATCGAAGACAATGAAATATTCGCATGATGGCCAAACTGAAGGACCTGCATTTTCATTAGATTATTTAACCTTATCCAGATTACAAAAAATGCTACGGATGTGTAAAAGTGATTTAGTTATATTTTTAAATGTTATGTCACTCATCATGTGCTATTAATACGACATATTAACAATTTGTTATAGAGATTACAAAAAATGCTACGGATGCGTATAATTTTTAAAGGTTATTTTATTCTTTATATTATAATATGGGGAATATATTTCGTGTCGCTGCCATGAACAGTGTAAATGTTCCGTAATGAATAAAAAAGAAGGAATGATGATAAAAAAAAAGTCGTGGTAACAATATGAGAGAAATGTCTGTTGTTAAAAAAGCTATTAATTTATTTTCTATTTTAAAATACTGTATAATAACACTCGGGCTGAGAGGAACAAGTAAGGAAGAAAAAATGAAAGTTAGAGATTTTAAAACTGTTTTTTACAGTGTTATATTTAAGACAATTATGTGTAACAATAGTTGTGATTGATTTATTAATTGTGTGATTAATGAATAGATTGCAAGATGCGAAGCAATTGTTGTGATTAAGGTTTATAAAAACATTTCGATTCTACGATTATATATTCATATAACCTGCATAAAGTAATGTGACGTTGTAACAAAATCTAACAAAACAAATAAAGAAGTATTAAAATAAATGACGGCTTCCACACATGATGACAATAACGCAGACGTCATTGTAATGATAGGAACGCTGATTAGTGAAGTGTCAGTGCTTAGTGTTATTATCATATTCAGTGTAATTGGTAATACATCTCTTTGTATTGTTGTGCTGATGTCTCGAACATTGAGGACAGTCACAGACATGTTCATCCTAGTCCAGGCTGTGCCAGGTAATATCTGTTGTGTCAATTGAATTCTTATCGCTTTTGATACGTCTTGTTCTAATAGTAAAGCAATGTTGATAGAACTGTTTGTTAGAAGTTACCCGTTTCGCTAAATGATCATGCGTTATTTAAAAAGAATGTTGATTGCATGAGATGAATTCCACTCTTTAAAAGTCCATTGTAGTTTTTAAAAGGACCCCATTTTGAAACTTAATTCAAGCAACTGAAACCAACGTAACTTGATAATGTCATAAAACGTTGGTACTCTTCAGTGTTAGGCTTTTACCCCCATGAGAGCCATTTCAGCGGTAATCTGTAGAGCTTGCAACTGGGTATTTAAAAAGAATAAATGTCCGCATAAAAGAAAAAACAACAACTTTTATTAATTCAAAAGTTACCGTATAGGAATGGATATTCTAAAAGGGTGTTAAAGTTTTACGGTTCTTTTGATGCAGTCCTGGGTCCATAACCTGCTTCAAAGTCACAGAAAATCTGCGTAAGGGTAAACACTGCAATTAAAACAGTTTTTTTTTCCAATGCCTCAAAATACAACGACTTGTACAATAATAAACAATTCAATTCAATTCTTTTGACCAGATTTAACTTTTTTTCCTGTGTCTGTTGATTTCTGCTTTGCAATATTTGCGCGTTGTTTCTTTTCGAAGATGAAAGGAATCATTTAATGAGGAATCTAAATGTATCTCCACCACATAATTTATTTCTTTCTTGCGCGTTAGTATATTGACAATATGTTCATAGCAAGATCTCTAAGAAATCGCCCATATTCGTTTCTGAGTTATTTCATACTGTATATTTTGCATCACTCAATTAAAGATAACAACACAACCTTAAAGAATAAGGTATGTGTAGATGTTATTTAATTGTTAAGTGCACCATTGTCATATGTTAATGTTGAAAAAAAAACTGCTTCATAAAACGGCTCAATAATACTGAATTTGTAATATTTTCAGTTCAGCTGTTTTGGACAACATTCACACTTTGCATTATTCAAATTACAGTAAACAGTATTGCGTTGTTCATCTGTAACATGTTTCCCTTTGCAATTGATTAATTTTGAATATTTTAGGTTATAAATAATGTTGGGAAAATTTTGTCACGCTGGTTTTGTAACAAATCGTATATAATGCAATTTGAAAGATCAAAAGATTTTAGGTAAGTTGACAAGGTTAGCTTTTAAAAAAGCTAGTAGCGACTCGCTTCGTAATTTTTTTCAAGGGGTGTGTTTAAATGTAAAAATGACAGTTCTGTTAGCTGAAGAGACTTCAGCGAACATCAAAATAAAAGTAAAGTCAACACTGGCCCGGTGCCCGATGGCCAGTGTATATAAGTTCAGGCCAGTGTAAATTTAAGAAAATTTTGTTAATTATCTAGTAGAATAAATTCAAAACTGGAATTCGGGCCAGTAAATTCAAAATCTTAAACTCATTGACTGAAAGTGACATATAAAGTTCTCTCAGTTTAACCAAGATGAGTATGAGTATATATGAAGGTGCATGTAAACAGATTGAATGAAGAACCTATGTCTATGCACATTTACTATATGGCCTGTTGACCTTGACCACAAAATGTTAGATAGGTAGATTTCATAAAGATGTCTCTTTATACAAAATTAAGTTGTAATACATATATGTTATTTAGTATTGGAATGAGAGGCACAAGTCCTAAAGTAAACACAAGTTGTCAATCAATTCAGCCAGAAAACCCGGGATCCTATTAAAAAATATAGGGATCCCGGAAATTCACCAGTCAAAAAAGATGTTTTTTCAGATAAGCCGGGATCCTATTAAAACATATAGGGATCCCGGGAATTGACCAGTTCAAGAATATAGTTTTCAGAAAAGCCGGGATCGTATTAAAATGTAAATAGATCTCACGGATCTCTGGGATCGTTCTAAAACATATAGGGATCCCGGGATTTGACCAATTCAAGAAAATAGTCTTTGATTTTTCCAATAAATTAGGCATATAATTATAAGTATTGTGATTTCCGCATTTTAAGTTTGTTAATAAAAAGCTCTTAATATATCTATATTATAAGTTAAATTAATTTAACGTTCATTATATACAATAAAAAAATTAACGTTTAATGGCATTCATTACGACAACAATCAACACAAATATAGTTCATTAGGTTTTTCCTCCATATCTTATACGATCCCGGATCCCGGGCGTCCCGGATCCCGGCCAGTAAATACATACACTAAACACCGGAAAGGATAAAATGACCGGAAAAAAGGAAAAATAAAAATTGAACAGAACCAGATGTACACTTATGTTAATTAACCAAACGAAAACTTACTACAGAGAAAACAGGTGAAATCGCTAAATCAGAAGTCAGTGTAAATATGATTTATTGAAAAGAATTCATAAAGACAAACATTTTAATCATCATTATATCTTTGCGCTCAAAACAATACTTGCTGATTTTTAAAAATGGCGTGAAAATTGAAGGTTTTTTGACGCTATGTAAGATTAAATTTGATTGGTTAAATAATTTTGGATCCTAGCCCTGATAGATAAATTTAGTAGAAAGCTGGAAGCCAAGCTTCGATTAAATTTTTGGATAGCTTCGGAGTTTTAGGTTGTTTCTCAGTAAAATCCTACCGTAATACCGGCTCGCCGTGGCGAGCCGGCATAAAACCGGAGACGTTCAGGTAGTTTGAACATCTTATCTAGCGTAAATGAAGATGAACAGGACGGTTGAACGCCTATGTTTATATTTACATAAACCATCGTATGTTGTGATAAAATACAAAAAAAAATCAAAGCTTTTACTTGTTTTCTCCATAGTGTTTCATTCTGAATTTGGCTTTTAGAAAGGATAAACGAATAGAATACAATGATTTATTCGGATTTTATTTCTAGTAAGCTACCATGTGCGAAAATTCATAAGGATATTTGATAATTGATTGCTTCACTTTTTAATTACCATTACTTCATGTTAAAGGGTTTAATGGTAAAATTTTGTGCATGTAAATGTAAGCGTAAAATGTTATATAAAAGATTGTTTTAAGTTCCTTACAATTTCTGCATGGTTGAATTAATCTAAACATGGAAACGTCTTTGAATGTATTTCAGTGACTGTTTCGAAAATGTTCTGGAGTAAGGTTTTCGGTGGAGTAATCAATTCCGTTTGCTAGCAAATCCTACATAATAAGTCTGACATATCTATTTTTTTTGTTACTGAAATTGTCAATTCAAAGGATATGCGAAATTTCCAAATGATAAACAAGAACTTTCGATTACATTTCGACGTTTAAAGTCCAACATATTTCCGGTAAATTTCGGCTGAATTGTTGCGTTTTTAAAGAACAAAATGTCTGCTATTTCACACGGCGCCGGCAATGTATCACCGTCGGATTCTGACACGGCTGAAGCATTTGTATTGTGTGTTATCATAGCATTCAGCATAATCGGAAATACCTCTCTCTGGTTTGTTGTACTAAGGTCTCGATCCTTGAGGAATATTACCAACATGTTCATTCTGGGTCTCTCTGCAGCAGGTAAAGAATTTATTTTGTATGTCTATCATTTCTATATTGAGCCACGCCATGACAAAACCAACGTAATGCCTTTGCGACCAGCATGGATCCAGACCAGCCTGCGCATCCGCGCAGTCTGATCAGGATCCATGCTGTTCGATATCAGTTTCTCTACTTGTAATAATCATGTATAGATCTGCATCCATGCTGGTCGCACACGCATTATGTTGGTTTTGTCATGGTGCGGCTCGTTTATTTAACTCTTACCCTGTTTGACTTGTCAGTAAGTATAAAGTCAGGCCAGTATGCACATCTGCGTACTCTGACCAGGCTGGAAACAATTATCCGATTTACTTTAAATTGTCATCTTCCTATCCCCAAAATAGATAGCGACAAGTTCTAAAAATGGAAAGTGGTCGAATTTCTTTTTTCATTGGAATCAGCAGGTCAAGATTTATATCAATTTTCCTACTAACCGTTACTTTTATTTTTTATTACATTTTTCCAAAATGATGTTATTTAAAGAAGTCATTTGAATTTATCTAACACTAGCATGCTTTTGTATTATAAATATAAGAACAAACCAAACTCAAAATAAAATTGCTCTAATTTAAAGTCACATTTGATTCAGATAAGGACTCTTTAACATTTTATTACTTGGTCAATGAATTCGGCAAAGAGACTTTACTTTTACATAGATACCCCAGTATGTTTTCTAACATTTGATTTATGTTTTTGTATGATTGTATGACTGACCATTGGCCTGTATTAAACTCGGGATTTGATGGTTGTATTCAAGTTTAAAAATATATGATCCGATTTAAAGAAACAGTCATGATTTCAGTTCCAATACATCATAACTCATTTTGAGATTACTTAGAGTAAAATGCTGAGGTGAATAAGTAATTATGCATGGTGAGAGTAAGAAAGATGTTGATCAGTGCTTTTCAGTCTAAAAAGGAAAGCTAAATCTAAAGATTTGATTGAGCCTATTCATGAAGGGTAGAAATAAGTAAAATCCTCAAGCACTGTATTAAGAAGTATTCAACGTTTAATTAAACATGAAAATGATTAAATTTTGAATTTAAAAATATAAGCATATAATTTCGTCATCTTGAAAGTTTCTTTCTATAGTCAAATAATTATGTATTACATCCGAAGAAGTAAAAAATTTCTAATATATGGTATTATAACAGTCATTTGATGATGAAATTTCATACTAATTTGTAAAAGTTATATGATACACAAAATTATAAATTAAAATATATCAAATGAACCGTTTCTTTAATGCATTCTTTGCCATGCAGAGGTTTGGTATGTTCGATCAAATATTAAAATTGGCAAGTGAGTATGTTGGCCTTTAAGATAATGGTGCCGGAAAATGTGAGCAAACATATAAAGAAATGATTTGTTTGTTTATTATTAACACTACGAAAGTTGGTGTTTTTTAAACGGCTTCAGTTTTTCCTATTTTTTTTAAAATGTATTCAACGGGTATTAATTTTAAACAAATAAGGTATTGTAATGTAGAAGTATTTTTTGCAAAGTCATATTTATGTTATAAAAATGTTACATATACTTTTTGTTCAGATAATATTTCACTATCATAAACTTTAAGCAGTTCAGTGATTTCTTTTGAGAACGGTTATTGTGCGTGACACTCATAAATACTGTCTCTGTGGATGTGCATTTGTATGTTAAATGGGGTATCATGTTGACTTGAATATTACGACAAATTATTTTGTGATAAAAACTTCAATGTATCAGTTTCTATACCGTTTATATTATGCATATTTCAAATTTCTCTGTACCTTACTTTTATTACGCTCTTATATATTTTAGTCTATACAGAGTTTATCTGAGTTTAATTGCGTGTGAAGCTAAAAGCTTGAAGCCGGTCATGAAACCAACCGGTATTGAGCTATGAGTGTAAAATTTCTTGCTCAAGGAAAGAACAGGTTGGCAATGACGGGGTATATACCAACTTTTCATACAGTATTACCTTGTTTTACTTACAGAATTTTTTGTTTTTACATCTGAGCATGCGCTCCTTATCCTAACGAAAATACAATTAAATCAAGTAGCTCATACAATCATATCCTTCATATATGCCGTGTCAATAAATACTTATTTAACAAAAATAGAGAAAAACAGGATCCCTAAAGAAAGCCCAACACGGCAGTATTGAAACTGTTAAAGACCTGGTTTGAGTAAGTCTGTTCATGGGCCCCATAGTGGGGAGTTATAAATTGACTGTTTCAACAGTATATAGCATCATATTACAATAAAAGTATATTCATGATTTGTTTTAAGTATGACAAAACCAACATAGTGCGTTTGCGACCAGCATGGATCCAGACCAGCCTGCGCATCCGCGCAGTCTGATCAGGATCCATGCTGTTCGCTATCAGTTCCTCTACTTGTAATAGAGTTGGTAAGCGAACATCATGGATCCTGATCAGACTGCGCGAATGCGCAGGCTGGTCTTGATCCATGCTTGTCGCAAAAGCATTGCGTTGGTTTTGTCGTGACCCGGCTCATTTGTTAAAAGTATGATAAATGTTCACAATGGTGGTCATAGGTATAGGAAAAATGTGAAAATTATCATTAAATGCGTCTCCGTATATATTTACGAATGATTATATTTGTATTTGAAGTTGATATTATTGGGAAATTTTTAAATGGCAACAAATATATCCGCTGGTTATTTCATTTTATGACTGCTAAAAGGCGAGTACAAAAACATGTATTTACAGAAAACAATTACATTATATATTATTGAGAAAACGCTTTTTTGAGATAAATTTGGCAAATATGTAGGCGATTCAAACAGCAAACAGAAATGAATATTGTGAGGTTATTATACAAAACTTTTGGACGGACGATTTCAGTAGGAGCCTAGGTTTTGCAGCTGTGCTTTAGTCCGATAGAAAAGTTGTATTGTTCAGAAAATTGCAAATGTACTCTCTATTTTACATTTCTTTTTGACATTTTGAAAGAACTTTTTTTCTTAAAGCACTTTCATTAATTGATATGAATGTTTTGACCCTTGCAATGAAAATAACGTTAGTTGTTGTAATATATGCATTAGATATAGATATTTTGGACTCTGAAAATGAAAACGAGTTTATATGGGGTACGATATGCATTTGATATTGATATTTTGGACTTGAAATAGAAAAAGAAATCGAAGTTTTTTGGGATACAATATGCGTTATGGATTGTTCGGACTCTTGAAATTGAAACGAGTCTAAATTGATCAGATTTGGTCCGATCTGACGTAACGTGCTTCAAAACGCTGAAATTTCATTGGTAATATACTTAGTATCTCAGTTCTTATGAAATAAATGACTTTACGACTATCTGCAATACAATATTTCAGTTCTGTATATATGTCAGTCCAATGATGGTGTTAAATGTAACGAAATATTCAAATTAGATTGTTTTTTCTACCCCAAACCATTTATCTAATACTCGTATATTTATATTTCAAGACATTTGGTTAAAACATCTATTATTCTATTTCATTTCATAAAATAAAAACCTTATTAATATATATCTGATTTATTATCACTAATAGTGGTTTCATTGCTTTTGAAGTAGGGATTCAACTGCATTAGAACTCTTAATGGTATACGCCTGGCGGATTATTATCAAATAATTATAATTTGTTGAATGTTTTAAAAAAGATAAGAATACACAAAATCGTTTGTGATATCATCTCGTCATTATTTGTACTGATCCTCAAGGTACAATATATAATTTATTTAATTTTAACGACTTATCTGCGGATAATTAAACTTTCTGCGGATAATTAAACATTAAAGTATCAGTAATTGTCATTAACAACAGAAATGTACCATTTGGATAATTTCTATAAACCTTTCTTTGAAAACCAATTTTGAAAGAGTTCTAAGTGATATTGGACGACCATTTATATGATGAATTGTAATATTTGGTTAAGTGCAATATATTATCTGCTATATACGAGGGTTGTCATACTGTTTTATTGTTTTACTCTAAAGCAATAACTTTGCCAGCAAATATATACATATCTTAGAGACACATTTACAAAACCCCACTGAGCTCTGATCAACTTTTATATTAAAACAGTCTTTACATAGTTACAACATACATCTTTACGGAGCACTCCGACACCGCCAACAACGTTAAAAGATATGCTATATCAAGATTATGTATTTCACACTTACCACCTACACCCATAGATAATTCTTTCGTGGCTTCTTTTAACGTATGATACTAAATACTTTCAAGATAATTAATTATGATTGACCAGGCTTTCCACTATTGACTTATTCACTTAATAGTAGATATATTATGTTCCGAATCATTCCAATTATGTTCAACTATCAAGACTCTAATCGGAGCCGTAAAGTTATAAACTTAGCCTGATGAATGTATGTAACGGATTTGCCCATTTTTAAATATAGAACAGTCCATCCAAAGTTTAATTATAAGGGATTTCAATATCAAAGCTTAAATAATGAGTTACTTATAGTACAGACCCTTGTCAGACTGTATGGATGTGCAAGCTGGCCTGGCTTTATACTGGTGGCAAAGGTAGATTTCTACCGAGAATATCTATGCTAAAATAACTGTAATAAGTGGTAAGATTTTAAAACACTAAAACTTATTATTATATATACAAAATTACGTGATATCAGAAAAACAATAAAAACAATGAGTATTCCGATGAATTTTAGAAAATAGTTCGAATTCAAACAAGAAATATCTCTGAAAAAGATACTCGGCCGAACTAAAACTGGTTTATTTGTATATTGAATCTTAGGAAACAAGGGAAAAGAATCATAAGAATTATGATATTGAGCCTAGTATTGAATTTTACGTTTAAATTTTTTAATATTAAAATCAAATGCATATGTTGGCAAATACAAAGTATTTTAATCGAGACAAAATCTTAAGTCTGAAGTAAATCCTTTAAAAGTAAGGAAGAAGTAAATAAGAACTACAAACAAACAAAACAATTTATTTCGTACTCA